TTTGACAAGTAGCTATCGCAGACGGAAATTGAAGCTAACACATTTTTTTCCTCTGGTATCTTGATGGAATTGGTTTTTAGCCCACATACTCAAGAACCAATATATTTCTCTCCTCATATTGAAAAGGAACATTTTGACAAAGGATAAAAATCTGGAAATGTAAACATTATACTTGCCAAGAGTTACAAACAAAATATGCTGCCTTCTACTTTGGGTAGTACTAGATCAGAAATGGGCTGAAAATCTTGGGACAAATCAAATTTTTTTGTTTACAAAGTTCAAAAAACACTCTTCAAATGCCTTTCCTTCCCCAGGCATATTATAAAAGCCTAATCAAATACCAGAAGATTAACAGTATGGATGTTCTAATTAAAATATCTGAAACAGCACTTTCATTTGTAGTAATCTGATATGAGTTTTTATTTTTATTTTAATATATTTATTTTGAGACAGAGTCTCACTCTTGTTACCCAGGCTAGAGTACAGCAGTGTATACTTGGCTAACTGCAAACTTGACCTCCTGTGTTGAAGCAATTCTCCTACCTCCGCCTCTGGAGTAGCTGGGATTAGAGGTACCTGCCACCATGCCCAGCTAATTTTTTTTTTTTTTTTTTTTTGTACTTTTAAAAGTAGAGAAGGGGTTTCACCATGTTAGCCTGGCTGGTCTCGAACTCCTGGCCTCAAGTGATCTGCCTGCCTTAGTCTCCCAAAGTGCTGGGATTACAGGCCTGAGCCACCACCCCCAGCCAGTATTTGAGTTTTTATGTCTTCAACCCTAGCTAATATATATACTACAAAATATATGTTTCACGTGTTAAGCAACAGTAAAACAAATCTTGCTTAATAGTATCTACTGTGTCTTATAAGATAAGACATTCAGAAGGAAATAACAGCTTAAGTCAATTTAAAGGAAAATTGTGAAGAGCAGCCTCCTGCCACAGATCTTCTCCTACAAGGCAACAAAAACGACACAAGAACAAGGAACAAAAACTATAATTGCTACAAAATACTCAGAAAGCAATTGCCCTAATGTGTGGGCAGTTTACCCAAGGAAACTTTCCAACAAGAATTATACAGGAACAATAATGACTTCTATTTAAGATGCTACTGGGTTGAGATTATTTTCTAGCTTTAAGTTACTGTATTACTATCATGAGCAAACCCAGGGTAATTAAATTGAATTTGGCATCCACAGGCTGGTAATGTCAAGGTAAGAAATCAGTTTGTGGAACATTTTGACCAAAGAAAAGAAGGAAACTATTATTAAGCTATTGTGCTAATGTTTCCTTGTCATCTTGGGCCTGACTTTGCCAGATCCTGCTGTTTATTCCCATTTAAATCCACTCTGAGGCTGGGCACAGCGGCTCACGTCTGTAATCCCAACACTTTGAGAGGTCGAGGTGGGCGGATCACCCGAGGTCAGGAGTGCGAGATCAGCCTGGCCAACATGGAGAAACCCCGTCTCTACTGAAAATACAAACAATTAGCCGGGCGTGGTGGTGCATGCCTGTAGTCCCAGCTACTTAGGAGGCTGAGGCAGGAGAATCGCTCAAACCTGGGAGGCAGAGTTTGTGGTGAGCCAAGATCGCACCACTGCACTCCAGCCTGGGCAACAAGAGCGACACTCTGCCTCAAAATAAATAAATAAATCCATTCTGATTTTTATGCTATGTAAATGCAAGACAGCTTGGAGATCAAAGTAAGGCCTCTTTTCATTTCTTAAATAACATCACTATTAATAACAAATAAAGGCATAGATTGAACTTCTCGAGCATAAAACAACAAAAAACCGACAAAGATTTAAATAGCTGGAGAGTTGCTAAAACACATATGGCATGTCACAAATCTCTATCGAGCTTCCACCCATTTATTCTTTTTTTTTTTTTTGAGACGGAGTTTCGTTCTTGTTACCCAGGTTGGAATGCAATGGCGCGATCTCGGCTCACTGCAACCTCCACCTCCTGGGTTCAGGCAATTCTCCTGCCTCAGCCTCCTGAGTAGCTGGGATTACAGGCACGCACCACCATGCCCAGCTAATTTTTTGTATTTTTAGTAGGGACGGGGTTTCACCATGTTGACCAGGATGGTCTCGATCTCTTGACCTCGTGATCCACCTACCTCGGCCTCCCAAAGTGCTGGGATTACAGGCTTGAGCCACCGCACCCGGCCCCATTCATTCTTTTAAGAAACATTTTGGCAGGGCGAGGTGGCTCACACGTGTAATGCCAGCATTTTGGGAGGCCGAGGCAGGTGGATCACCTGAGGTCAGGAGTTCAAGATCAGCCTGGACGTCATGGTGAAAGCCCCGTCTATATTAAAATACAAAAATTAGCCAGGCATGGTGGCATGCACCTGTAATCCTAGCTACTTGGGAGGCTGAGGCAGAAGAATCGCTTGAACCCAGGAGGTGGAGGTTGCAGTGAGCCAAGTTCATGCTACTGCACTCCAGCCTGGGCAACAGAACGAGACTCCATCTCAAAAAAATTAAAAAAAAAAAAAAAAGAAAAAAAAGAAATATTTATCAGGACTGGAGCAGTGGCTCATGCCTATAATCCCAACACTTCCAAAGCAGGAAGACTGTTTGAGGCCAGGAGTTCAAGACCGTCTCTGCAAAAAATTATTTGGGCATGGCAGTATGTGCCTGTGATCCCAGATACTTGGGAGGCTGAGGTAAGAGGATCATTTAAGCCCAGGAGTTGGAGGCTGTGGTGAGCTCTGATGGTGCCACTGTGTTATAGCTTTGGTGACAGAGCAAGACCCAGTCTCCAGGAAAAAAATGGAAACATTTATGAAATACTGTGCTGTGCTTGACATTGTGCAGAATTCAGACATAAGTAAGGAATACAGATCAGGAGAGAGCAGCTAAGACAAAACAGAAGAAAATAGTGTTTTTTAACAGATATAAAACTTAGAAAGGTGCAGCTAATTGTAATGAGAAAAGACTTTGCAGTAAAGGTAATAACAACACTGGGTCTAGGAGGTACGCATAATTTCTGCAAGTCAAACGACGGAAAGAAAGGACATTCCTTCCCAAATCTGGGGAGACAGTAATCAAATCAAAGACTCAGAAAGGAGAAGGTAGTGGCCACGTAAGCAGGGAAGCGTGGCCCCTCTGGGGAATACGGCGAAAAAGGAGTCCGGAAAGGCACATTGACGCCAGACAGCGAGGGGTCAGGGATGTCAAGGCAAGCGCTGGGCACAGGAGAGACGGGAAGTTTTCTGGGACAGTGACTCCCGGATCTGGCTGCATACCAAATGACACCTGGGATGTCTAACAGGCAGATGCTCAGATGCCATGAGGACCAGGAAACTGTCATTTTTTTTAAGCTCCTGGGGTGATTCTCATTATCAGTCAGATGTCAGGAGTGCACAAAGAATGCTCAGAAAAGTGACAGAAAGGAAGCAAGGAAGGAAGGAGGATTGATGGAAGAACAGAGCCAGGAGGTTACTTTAGATTAAAAAGAAAAGGAAGGTAAGCTTGCCATATGAAAACACACAAGAAGGGCCAAATGTCTGCAGAAAAAGATATTCAATGTGAACATTCTATGGCTATTGATGGCTTCGGAAATTTGGTTCTAGAAATTCACGAAAATTAACTTCATATTTAAACATATACTATTTGCAGGCTTTTTTTTTTTTTTTTTTTTCTGAGACGGGGTCTCGCTCTGTGGCCCAGGCTGGAGTGCAATGGAGTGACCTTGGCTCACTGCAACCTCTGCCTCCCAGGCTCAAGCAATCTTCCCACCTTAGCCTCGTGAGTAGCTGAGACCACAGGTATGTGCCACCGCGCATGGCTAATTTGTGTGTGTGTGTGTGTGTGTGTGTGTGTATTTTTTTTTTTTTTGCCATGCTGCCCGGCTGGTCTCAAACTCCTAACTTCAAGTGATCTACCCATCTTGGCTTCCCAAAGTCCTGGGATTACAGGTGTGAGCCTCAGATTACACCGAGCCTCTTTTAAGATGGCTATGTACAGTCTGTCCTCCATATCTGTGGGTTCCACTTCCACACATTCAATCAACCACAGATGAAAAATATTTGGAAACAATAAAACAATTAAAAATCACACAAATATTTAAAATGCAGTATAACAACTACTTACGTGGTATTTACATTCTATGACATATTATAAGTAATCTAGAGATGATATAAAGTATATAGGAGGATGTGTGTAGGTTATTTGCAAATGCTGCCATTTTATTTTATTTTTATTTATTTTTTTTTTGAGACGGAGTTTCGCTCTTGTTACCCAGGCTGGAGTGCAATGGCATGATCTCGGCTCACCGCAACCTCCGCCTCCTGGGTTCAGGCAATTCTCCTGCCTCAGCCTCCTAAGTAGCTGGGATTACAGGCACGCGCCACCATGCCCAGCTAATTTTTTGTATTTTTAGTAGAGACGGGGTTTCACCATGTTGACCAGGATGGTCTCGATCTCTTGACCTCGTGATCCACCCGCCTTGGCCTCCCAAAGTGCTGGGATTACAGGCGTGAGCCACCACGCCCGGCCTATTTTTATTTTTTATTTGTTTTTTTGAAATTGAGTCTCACTCTGTCACCCAGGCTGGAGTGCAGAGGCATGATCTTGACTCTGCAGCTTCCACCTCCCAGGTTCAAATGATTCTCCTGCCTGAGCCTCCCGAGTAGCTGGGATTATAGGCACATGCCATCACCACCAGCTCATCTTTTGGTGTTTTTAGTAGAAATGGGGTTTGACCACGTTGGTCAGGCTGATCTTGAACTCCTGACTTAAAGGCAAATGATCTATGTTAAGCATGGTGCTACAAACTTAAGAGGAACTCAATAAATATTTATCAAATAGTAAATATTCAAAGTTCCTTGAAGAAGGAAGTCTTTAAAAAGTTGAAGGTTATATATTTCACTTTTTTTTATTTTAAAGAGAAAGTACCTCAGTTCTTTTCTTTCATCTTTCCTTCTTTCATTCTTTTCTTTTAACTTCAGTACACACCTGAGGTTATTTATTTTTAAGATGTCATAATTCTTACCTTGGCTGCCAAGGCTTTTAAACTGTCAAGGAATCTCTGCCAGAAATCCTTGAAGAGTGGGCGGTCGATTTTCTTCAGACTTTCTTTGGTGCTGGCATCCACACTGACATACAGCTGAGTAACTGGCTTGAGGTTCCTTAGTAAATTTAAAAAAAAAGGAAGAAAGAAAACATATTCCTCTATCAGGCTTTCCATGATGTACAACTTGCAATCTATAATAGATATAGGGATTAAACATTTCACTGGGTCTAGAGACTTCCACTTCTCCCCAAAAGACTGAACTAATGATTTAATAATATGGCAAGATGGGATGGCCTCTGGTTATTTTATTTTATTTTTTTTTTTTGAGCCGAGTTTCTCCACGTTGGTCAGCCTGGTTTCGAACTCCCAACCTCAGGTGATCTGCCCACCTCAGCCTCCCAAAGTGACTGGGATTACAGGCGTGAGCCACCATGCCCAACCAGCCTCTGGTTATTTTTTAAATGACTGAAAACAATCCCTAATACATTGAAAACATTGAATTACTTAAAATTCAATGTAAAATAAAATATGATCTAGGTTCAGGTCTGACAACATCAGCCCAGCACAATTACAGGGGCTCTCTGGTCTCACTTTCCCACCCACACATTCTGCCAACCACACTGGGTCTGCACAGCTAGGCCACCTCCCTCCATGCATTCACTGACAGAAATCCTCTAAGGAGCAAGAAAGAATCCCAAAAGCTCAGGCCTGATTCAAAGGACACAGAGTCACACCTATGCTTCCAAAGGTGGGAATGGGTTTCATGTCAAGCCCTGAGTGGCAAACAATGACCCATTTGGGGAACTTTAAGCAGTGCAGACCTAAAACAGCAGCAACCTCGTAATTACACAGAAGAAAAAAAATGCAGTTTCCATGAACACCATTCACTCTCCGCTTCTCTCAAATTCACTGCTTCGCTTCATTTCATTCCTACCTACTCGATTTCTAGTAGGTCCTTCTAGTAGGTCTTTCCCCTGGCCCCAGTCCCCAGACAGGGTCTCATTCTCACCAGGCTGCAGTGCAGTGGCACAATCACAGCTCACTGCAGTCTCAACCTACCGGTCTCAAGCGACCTTCCTATCTCAGTGTCTCAATGGGACCACACACATGCGCTGCCGCACCTGGCTAATTTTTTAAATTTTTCTGTAGAGACAAGGGCCCCACTATGTTACCCAGCCTGGTCTGGAACTCCCAGGCTCAGGTGATCCACCTACCTCAGCCTCCCAAAGTGCTGAAATTAGCAGTGTGAGCCACTGTGCCTGACCCTACTAGATTTCTCACAAGTTATACATTAAACCTAGACTGCACTTTTTCTTTTTTGAGGCAGGGTCTCACTCTGTCACCCAGGCTGGAGTACAGTGGTGTGATCTCAGCTCACTGAAACCTCCCAGGATTCAAGATTCTCCTGCCTCAGCCTCTCACGTAGCTGGGATTACAGGCATGCCCCACCACGCCTGGCTAATTTTTGTATTTTTAGTAGAGATGGGGTTTCACCATGTTACCCAGGCTGGTCTCAAACTCCTGACCTCAAGTGATCAGCCTGCTTTGGCCTCCCAAAGTGCTGGGATTACAGGTGTGAGCCATTGTGCCCAGCCTAGACTGTACTTTTTCTAAAGCCTCTCCCCTTCTCCCTTCAAATGGGTCTCATAATTCATTCTCTTCAGTAAATTTAGAACTAGAAGAAAGAAATGCCCCCTTAATAATCCTCTGATCAAATTCTCCCAGTATTCTTTTTCTATAACGACTCCACATTTTTTCCACATTGCCCCCTTGAAATGTATGCACTTTTTTTTTCAAAGTCCATGCATTTTAAAAAATGAAGATATCGTTCACATGCCATACAATTCACCACTTTAAGACGGTTGGTTTATGTGCTTTATATATGTATCAGCAGCAGCCTTATCAATCTTTGAGTATAAGATCTTGAAGAGAAAGAATCCTATTTTTCTTTTTATCCAGCCACACAGGCAGACACTAAAGCTACTTTTTAGGAGATATTGTCAATTTCAGCAGACAAAATTTTTAAGGGAATATAGGCCAAACAGATGCTTGCAATGATGTGGCTTAGTGACATGTAGAGAAATCAGAAGCGTCTAGACTTCTGTTCACTTTCATTAAAAGCGGAGAGGCTCTGACCAAATACCGGAAAGAGGTGTTGAAGGTGCTGGCAGGCTCTCGTGCTTTACCGTCCCTGCAGCCCCGATGTACTAGGGGAACCCTTCAAAGCGCAGGTAACGGGTCACCACTGAGCGCAGCACATTAATCACTGAAAATGTGAAACAAAAGCATCAGTGACCACAGCATTCTGTCTCATCACTCCTTTGCTGGGCGCCTCTTTAATAAGAGAAGCTATGCTTCCTTAACTGGATCTTTCTTTTACAAAAAAAAAAAGACTATCTTAATGGTTACTACTGGCTATCATCATCCGACTGAACAGGACTTTGTCAAAAGCTTCCTGATGCAAAATGAAAACTGTCCTGACCTTTTCTGTGCTTCCATAACTGCTTCAGATTATGAGCAGTGCCTTCCAAAGGCCATACTTCTTTTATAAACCTCTGTCATTTACAAAATCGGAAGCCCTGGACACTGACACTACCAATAAGGAATTCTAGTCAATACTGGATGCCTGAGACGCTACCCCCAAGGAAGTCTAGAGATCTCTTGCTAAGGAGCAGAGGAAGAATGGAGAGGAGGAAAAGGTCCCTAGGAACTGCAGAGCTCATTTTGAAGAGGCTCAAAATTAGCAAAGAGACCTTCAGAGATATTTTCAGAGCTTTAGGGACCTGATTTCTGTCTAGCACTGGTCTCTATTCACCCAGAAAAGACAATGAGGGTCCCAGGAGGGTCACTTACCTGTCTCTATTCTACACAAAGATAACAAACGTTCCCCAAAAGCAAGAGTCTTACATCATCAAAATCATCATAATTCTTCCTGTATCCGAGGATCTCATGGTACTGCCGGGAGTCATTAAAAAGGATATCCTCCGCTCCCCAGAAAAAGAGACAATATTTAAGACAGACAATCTTAAGCCCAATCCTCTGTAAAAATGCCCAAGGATTCTTGATGTGAGTATTGTAAGGGCCCTTCATCTTAATTTTAAGTCTCTGAGTTAAGAATTATCATATATAAAAACGTGCTGACGAACATAAAACTCCCTCCCGTGTTTCCTTTCTGTAGACACCTTCAGGCCTCACTTTATCTTCTGAACCTTGGAAGGTAAAATGAGGCCTGACAATATCTGCAGAAAGAAAAAAAAAGAGACATTTATGTTTGTTAGAAATCCAAGTAAACAGTGACTTTGAAGCTCCTCCTTGGGATAAATAAATAATAACCAGAGTGACCCAAACATCCAGTGATATGAAAACCTGAATCTCTAAGACAATCTGGGGCTATCAGAGCAGCCGAACAGCTCAGGAGGAAGTGAGGAGGAGAGTGAGTCAGGAGGAAAGAGCTGTCACCACTCACTGGGCCAGGCGCAGAGTTATCACCACTCACTGGGCCAGGCACACACTGCTGTGCTTTACTCTTCTTCATCGGTTCAGTGAACTGAACCATCACAGTAAGACAACCACGCAGTTGCTACTGAGGCCCATTTTAGAGATGATGAAGCTGAGGTTCAAGAGGCTAAGTAATGTGTGCAAGGGTCTATAAATAATAAGCATCAAGGCAGGCACAGCGGCTCACACCTATAATCCCCAGCACTTTGAGAGGCTGAGGTGTGCGGATCATCTGAGGTCAGGAGTTCGAGACCAGCCTGGCCAACATGGTGAAACCCTGTCTCTACTAAAAATACAAAAATTAGCCCAGCATGATGGCAGGTGCCTATAATTCCAGCTACTCAAAAGGCTGAAGGCACAAGAATCGCTTGAACACAGGAGGCAGAGGTTGAAGTGAGCTGAGATCACACCACTGCATTCCAGCCTGGGCAACAAAGCGAGACTCCATCTGAAAAGAAGGAAGGAAGGGAAGGAAGGGAAGGAAGGGAAGGAGGGAAGGAGGGAAGGAGGGAAGGAGGGAAGGAGGGAAGGAGGGAAGGAGGGAAGGAGGGAAGGAGGGAAGGAGGGAAGGAAGGAAGGAGGGAAGGAGGGAGGGAGGAAGGAAGGTTGGGGGAGGAAGGGGAGAAGGGAGGGAGGGAGGAAGGAAGGGAAGGAAGGGGAGGGAGGGAGGAGGGGAAGGAAGGAGGGAGGGAGAGAGGGAGGAGCGGAAGAAAGAAGGGAGGGAGGGAGAGAGGGAGGAGGGGAAGGAGGGAGGGAAGGAGGGAAGGAAGGAAGGAAGGAAGGAAGGAAGGAAGGAAGGAAGGAAGGAAGGAAGGAAGGAAGGAAGGAGGGAAGGAGGGAAGGAGGGAAGGAGGGAGGGACGGAGGGAGGGAGGGAAAAGAAAAAGAATAAGCATCAAGGAGATTCAAGCCCAGAGATGACTCCAGAGCCTTTCTCCTAACCCTGCGCCATAATGGCGAAATCCAGTGTGGCTGTGTTCAAGTCCCAGCAGGTACATGTAACAAACAGTATTCCATACAATGAAAAATCCAAGAGAATACAGATGATCTGTGACATGCAGATTCTGACTGCAAAGTCCTAAGAGAAGCCAAAACAACAAATCCTCAGGAAGAAATTCTGAAAATCCCTTTCACACATGGGCTTATCTATTTCACTCAAGTTATTTCAGGGACTACTATGAACTGAACACTGGGTCCAAGAGGCTCAGCCCTCAATACTTACATTCTGGAGGGAATAGAAGATGGGTGAGAGTCTCACCACGTGCTCAGCGCCATGACTAAGGTGGGGAAGATGCAAAGGGAATAAATGGAGCAGTGAGCTGGTTTTGCTTGGCAAAATCACAGAAAAGATGTAACAAGGTCAAAGTCAAGCTGATCTCTGAAGTACACAGAGGTCATTAGGAAGACAATGAGATCATTTCCAGGATGTCCAAAGCGGAAGAGTGAGGCCTGCAGCTGTGAGATGCAGCAGGACAAAGGAATCACAGACTATCCCCCAAGGCTCTGACATGGCAAACGGAACTGCGGAATGCCTGCAGCCAGGTCTCACGTCTCACCACAGCTAGGTCTGGCTTACTGAAGATTTATGGAGCCAGTGACACACTCAGATCAGTGCTCA